CAAAGGTTCATTTATGTACAGAAAATATAGGGTTTTTATAGTATTTTGGAAGTCCTTGGATTTTCCTGAAAATTCTAGAATACTACTAAACATCGGTTAAGTGCTCCGGCGCGAGGCCAGTTAGGTCCTGGGTTCGAATCTCGCGGGTGCGGGATCGTGGATGTACACTGCTTAGGAGTCCCATAATAGGACGAAGAGGCCTTCCAGTGTTATTCCAGGTTTTCCATGGTGGTGTAGCTTCAATCGACTCACGCTTTCAACTATGAAAATACTAAACATAGCAACAGAGTTTTAATCAGCCAATCAGAACATCTACATGTGACTTTTCACTGTCGTGATGTTTCTACCAAAACTTCTAGTTAAACGCTGATTGGATAGAATGCTTCCTAATGTTTCCTGAGCCTTTCTTGTCTATTGCGAGAAATTTTAGGGATCATCCCGACAGTACTAAAAGTAGATCAGAATTTAGAGTTGCGTAATAGTCAATGGGTAATAAGAATAAAACAACATATGAAGACACAATATGGAAGACTGACAATTATAAGAAAGATAAAAATTTAAGGGAACATGCTTCAAAATACGATGCAGAACTAAGATGGGAAAAATAATTGTCCATTTAAAGAATAAAAGGAGATGAAGAAGCAAAAATAAACATGTGTCGAAAAATAACTAACTAAATATAAAGGACCGTTAGGTTAATGTTGTACTAATAATTTGGATGTACCTCTTTTGAACACTAAGATTAAGCTTGAATTAATTAATCACCAAAGACTGTACTATTGACAAGCTTCCTGTCCGGGTTTTTTTCGAACCAGTTCGTTTGACTTTTTTGAGTAACTTAGAATTAGAATTCCGATTGACATAGATAGCCAGGATTGACTAGATTTTTAACGATTGAGTTGTTGTTTTATTTGCATGGCCAATATAACAACCTCCACAAGAGCAAGTAAATTGGCAGATACACATTTAGGTAGCTCGAAATACCTGTTTATTCTTGCCACATCCTTGTAAGAAGCATCTGCTGTTGAATATAATTCATAGTTCAGTAGAATAAAAGTTTTCCTCTAAAGACTTGGCCCATTGGTTTCCTAATTCCTTTCAGTTTATATCTCCCTTGAACTCAATGTTTATAAACAAAATTTCCTTCGGTACGTAGGGGTTCTTTCAGTTGAGCATTTTATGCTCATATTGCTATCAATAAACCTGGGAGGAAATCTACTTTCTATAAGTATTGTCAGATAATGTCTAGTTTCACACCAACTGTGTCTTTTGGATATATTCTTCTAACTCACAAATACAGATGATACATCAAATTTCTCTTTCTTGTCAGTGGAATCCAACTTTGAAAGTTCGTATATTCCCCATTCCATGTTGGCTTTCTATCAGTCGATTTGTGTAAAGAGCTGTCTCATATTCCTCTGAGTAAAACACTGAGAAAGTGAAATGTTACATTTATCTCTGACTCCAGTTTGAATGTAATCAACTGGTGAGACGTAGTGAAGTCGTACATTCTTCCATTCAAATCATTAGTTTCCTTACAGATAATGGAATTACTATTCCTACATCAGCTGCTCTGCAGATTAGCCATGAGACATTTCGTTAAGATAAGACCTAGTAGCAACCTCATTGGCAAAGATATTAGTTTATCTGTAAAAATCATCACTGAAAATGAATTGGATACTGAAAATGTAGTGTAAGAGTAACTCTTTGAGATAAAGTATTGGAATATCAGTATCGATGTTGTTATTTTCAACAGAATTACAAATAAAATAAATTGTCTCTACGACAGGCACATTTGTGAAAAGACAACATATATAGGGTTGTGGAGATTATTGAGTTTTCATGAAATCACGAACCAATAGTTGTATAATATCGTGGATTGATCGAAGTTAGACTTGCGTAACACTGGATCCCAGTTCAGTGGTCTAAATATCAAAGATTCGAGAGCCAAACCCAGGGTTCTGGGTTTGATTCCGGGTTCCAGGGGCACAGAAGCATACCACTGAAGAGTCCCAATAAGTTGAAACGGCCACCCAGTGCATTCAGATTTTTAATGGTTGTCTAACTTATGTCAGTTCCTTATTTCAATAAAATTTGCCAATGTCACAAGATTTTGGACTAAGAGATAGTGTCTACGTAATGTTGAATATCTCTTTTATATATGTTATTTTATTCGTACTACCTGTTTACTACTACGTAACCTCCAGTTCCAACTGAATTTAAGTATCTCTGTTAATGATGCAACAAGTTACCATTTTAATTAAACACCACTGTATGAAACAATAATTAAAACCAAGATTTTCAACTTCCATTTAATAGTATCTTCAAAAGTAAAATTCCCTTCTATGAAAAGTGTTCATTTTGTTCCAACCAGAATTCAGTGACAACATTATTTATTTTCCAAGGTTGCCTAAATATTTTTTGAGATGGTGAAAAAGATTTGTAGCTCAGGTGGGTGATTTTGATAGAGTTTTGTTCTCTGAGCTGGATGGTTTGGTCGTGGAGCTTTCATCGCCCTTCTGGACGACATCATCAGCACAGGACAAGCTGTGAATGACATGTGGAGAAATTCAAACACTTCACTTCTAGCCGAAGTTTGTGCTGATGATGTCGTTCAGAAGGACGATGAAAGCTCTACGACCAAACCATCCAGCTCAGAGAACAAAACTCCATCAAAAACAATTTTTGCAAATGTGTCAAACATTTGTATGCTTTCAAAATGTTGGTTAATCTAGTCAACTATTGATTCCATAAAATTAAAACGTTAACACTGTGATACTGAGTTGTTTTTTCTCCGATTGTTCAAATATCGAGAAGAGTGAACACCTTTCTGTAAAATGAGTGATCTTATTCTACATTAACTATAGCGTTAGCCAGTGTTAAACAACTGACATAATGGGACAAGTTAAAATCCGATTGATTCTAATAATAGATGGTGTGTATCTATTATTAGAATCAAGGTCTTTCAACTCAAACTATGTGGATGAAATTATTTTGGAATGGAATGAATTGTAGGATACTCAATAAATGACTAAATGACCTTATATATATTCATCTAATGATCATCCCATTTTATATCATACATGGCTTAGATACAATATGGTATTAAAAAATCTTGTTATACAAGTTATCACAAAATGTTTCCGTAAAGTTTACTGAAGGAAGTCATATTCTCAATACCTTGAAAATTCCTTAACCTTGATTTGTATCTAATCACGTTTATCGGTGTTGAATTATTAGTAGCAAAGTAGTAACTAAAATAAACTAATGAACTTCAATGTTTGATGTCGCGTAAAGTGTAACACAAAAGAGGAATCCCGTTAGATAGAAATAAACAAGCCAACTTACGTCACTCATGGCAAAGACAAGATATCCGTCTATCAATTAAGGGACAAGTATACTGCTCAGCAGTCCGTTCTGTTTTACTTTACGGCTGTGAAACATGCCATTAAGAGTAGAAGTTACTCGTAAGTTACTAGTACTTGATCACAGATGTCTTAGAAATATTGCTCGCGTCTGCTGGGTTCACCGGCTAAATAATAGTGAAGTTAGACATAAGGTATTAGGGAATGATGGTAAATCGGTTGATGAGGTCATGAATCTTCATCAACTGAGATGGTTGGGTCACGTGTCACGTATGCCTGAACATCGATTACCACGATGCGCTATGCTGACTAGTGTAGGGGATGATTGGAAAAGAGTCGGGGGCAGCCAAACCAAAACGTGGCATCAGTGCTTGAAGTCACTAACTTCTAGTCTGAGCCATGTTGGTAGATGCAGATTACTTGGTTGGGGTCCGCGCGACCTTCGTAACCAATGGTTGTAGATTATGTATAATCCAAACTAAGTTTGGCTGAAGAATAACTGTCTAGTTACGTAGAGACGCGTGGACCCCAATCGAAATCAGAACAAGGTGATTGTGGAAACAACGGTTCTAAACAAATATTACCACTCAGTTATTCAACCAATAATTGTCCCCACAATAATCGATCAAAAATAAGTGTTATTCTATCCTTTCTGGATAGATAAAGTAAAAATCCGTTCAAAAGATAATAAAAAGGAGCGAATAATAGTTTGTTGCTTTATAACACAAAGTGTTTTCAACTGTGGGAAAGTGCATCAATTCACAACCAAAATACACGATCCCAGTCAAATCAAGCAACACAAACAAAGAGGGAACAATCAACATGGCTGCCGCCAAGATTCAATATCCACTAAAACAACATAGATACAATTCAGAAAGAAACATAGAAACTCAGTAAAAGCGAAAGAGAAAATGCTAAAACTGTTATAAAATGAAACATTACAATCTCAAATGCCATCAGAAAGACTAACAAAATGTACAACCAAATAAACTAATGAGAAAGAGCTGAAAATGTATGCATGGAGGGATTTTCATACACAAAACCTTCGAAATGGTTCTTACAACTCTGTGTGACAAGGCTTAGAATCGATTACAATGGCGTAGGTGTATATACTCTATATCTTCCCTTAAACCTTAAGATTAAATTTGCTTCATAACTTTCTTCTTTTCTATACTATATCCTTATATACAATCTTTCTTTTATATAATACCACCACTAAATTAACTACTTCTATGAATTCGGTGTTCATCTTGTTGTGCTATCGAGGTATGGATTTCTGTATTCATCAAATATATGGTTAATATTAATTATAGAAGGGGTTTTGTGGAGATTTAGTATTTATTATAGTTGAAAGCCTGAGTCAATTGAAGCTACACCACCATGGAAAACCTGGAAACACTGGACGGCCGTTTCGTCCTATTATGGGACTCCTCAGCAGTGCGCACCCACGAACCCACTCTCGCGAGCGAGATTCGAACCCAGGTTTTCCATGGTGGTCTAGGTTCAATTGACTCACGCTTTCAACTATATGGTTAATAGTATTTTGTATTCCTCTACAACTATTCCTTACTTCCATAACACAAATGACCTATATGATACGTAAAGATAATGATATATCGTCAATGGTGCATTGTAGTCACAAATTCATTCAGCTAACAATGAGTTTTGAGTGAAGATTATGGTACAGTAATATAAAAAAGGTCGATCTAATTCCTTTTTATTGATATTATGATTGGTCAATGGGGTCAAAAGAAATAAGTGAACCAATAAGATTTAAGATTACAGGTCGTTAATAACGGTCAAAAATATGATTGGTTAAAGAGATAGTCATCGGTCTGATTGAGAAAAACCAAAAAAAAGTCTAATCGACTCGAAAATGTAGTGCGTCAAGAAAATTTTATACAATGAACAAAGTATAATATTTATAACACGATCAGTTTATATTTAATTATATATATAAAAACATATCTGTGGATATTTTAAATCCAAATCATAATCATGCTACATCGACCTACTCTCATGCCTCCATCAATGAGATCATCTTCAAAATTCAAATTATCTACTAATTCACAACATTCATCTCAATCGATTAAAATAGAAAATTGTCTTGATTTTAACGGTGGTGAGACGGTTATTGTCGGACCTACAGATCCAGATGAAGATCGTATGAAACAGGAAGATACAACATATGATGTAGTATTAAAAAAAGAACAGGAAGATTATATGGAAGAAGATTACAATGAGAATGATGAAGATATGAATTCAAATGAAACTCATATGAAAAGTGAATCTCACATCCCAGTGTCGAATATTAAATTGGATGAACCCACTGGAAATGAAACTGCAGTCACCGTAACCACAGATTCAGTTAAACCTATTGAAATTTTACCTCTGAATGATGCCATTCAGAATTTACTAACATGTATACCACATGGTGCTGCCACTATACAGAATGTTCCACTTCAACCTATACTGTCGAGTAAAGTGAATGGGTCGGGGAGTGTGCAAATGCCGAATGTTGTTTCCAATGCATTGCCTACATTGTGGCTTCATTCTCCTGTTGTGAATTCAACAGGAATGAGTATGCCTAATGTGACTAGTGTGACAGATTTGACGAGTAATATTGTACAGAATACTGCGAATGCACTGAATCCACTTGTTGCTGCTGTGCTTGTGAATTGTGCCACAGTGAACATGATAAGTCAGTTAGCTGGATCAATGTGTACTCCGATCGTGAACAGTAGTGTGATGGATGGTAATGTTAATGGTATTAATGTGAACAATAATAATAACCACACTACTATTAATGGTAGTGTTAGTAGTGGTAATGTTGGTGTTGGTTGTGGTGGTGTTGTTGTTGGTATTAATGGTGGTGTCACTGGTGTCAACACTGTAATAATCCCTACAGCATCATTACTTCCTAATTTGTTATCTGCTATTCCGTTATCTACGTATATATCTGGATTAGGACTGACTACATCTGGAGGTATAATTACTTCACCAAATAATTTGTGTGATGTTGGTGTTACCAGTACAGTTGTCTCGTCTGCTAAAACTCTCAATGCGAACAATAATAATAATAATGGTATAATTGTGACACCATTGAATGTTGAGAATATTACTATTTCACCGTCATCGGGTAGAAATCAAGCTGAAAGGAACGATGTGATGTATAGTACTGAAATATCCGTTGTAAATAATTCATCTAATGAAATTGTTAAAAATACTAAGAATAATAATGATAATAATGTGACAACTATCAGCTCAGAATCATTTCAGCCATATATGATAATTCCTGATTCTAGAACAATGTTTAGCACTGTGCCTGCTAAAGAATTGCGGAAATATCATTGTACATATCCAGGATGTGAAAAATCGTATACTAGACGATTTCAGTTGAATCAACATATATTAACGCATATTATTACTGGTCCGATATCTTGTGATGCACCGAACTGCAGTATGAAATACTTTTCAGAGGAGGATTTAAAAAGACATAAACTATGTAAACATTCATCAGCCAATAAAGATTCGCGTCATCAACAAGCTTGTACAATTCCTGAATGCGACGGATCCTATTCAGAGAAACATTCCGAAATAACTACTTTTTCTTCAAATGTGCTACCTGAATCAACTGAACCAGTGGAAACGAGGAATGCAACATCAATAACACCGAATATTCAGAAAAATCGTACTCTCCCACTTATTGCACCAAAATCAACTATATCTCTTCCTACAAATTTGATTTTTCGAAATGTTTGTACATATCCTGGATGTGGTAAATCTTATTCATCATACACCAAACTGAAGTTACATTTAAGATCCCATAAATGTGAAAAATACTACGTTTGTCGAAAACCTGGTTGTAATGCTACATTTACTCAATTGTCCGGAGTTCGATCTCACGAACTATCACACATATCCATCCATAAAGGTTCCGAACGACTGGATCAATATCCTATCACTATCAGTGATAACATATTCCGAACAAGTCTTGATACTTCTCAACTAAAATTGATTTCTCAGAGTAATGCTGAAATAACAAATATTTCACCAGATGTACTACTTAAATCAACAGAACCAATGGAAATTACAAGTGAAATATCTATTGCACCGAATATTCATGAAAATCGTTCTCTCCCACTTGTTGTACCAAATTCAAGTGTACCTCTTCCTGAGCCATTTATTCTCACTGCAAGTTGGGATTCCGAAATGAAGTTACTTTATGTTTGTCCATTTAAAGAATGCGGTAAAGCATTCACGAAACGAAGCAAACTTCATGAGCATGTTTGTCGACATATGGGTGTACGACCATTTGTTTGTGATAAATGTAAAGCATCATTTGTTCAAAAGTATGAATTACGTCGTCACAGTATTATCCACCTTCGTGGTGCACAACCAAGAAGTTTATCACGTTTTCTCACAACTCCACAACAAACAAATGAAACACTTGAATCTATTATTGCAAACAGTCAAATTCCTGTCAGTACTACTCCCAATACTACTCCCATAACTACTACTTATGCAACTTATACTACTAATACTATTCCCACTGTCACTACACCGGTTTCTGCAACCAGTCTTATTTCGGATGCTACAAATCCCACCATCTCCACTGTTCCTGTTTCTATCAGTACTCTTAAAGTTGAAGAAGAGCCAGTACTAATCAAAATGGAAGGAGTTACTGAACAATCAACAAATGTGCGACCATATGATACTGATGATCAGGTAACAGATTGTATTGATAAATAATGTTACCCACCATGAATGATTTGATTATGATTTTAACGATTATATAATGATCGGTAACATTTTTGTACAAAAAAAAAATTACCCACTATTAATTGTCTGTGACGATGAAGTATAATAATGATTGTAGTTGCTTCATTGATTTGTAGTGCTTCTACCCGACCAACCATTTGTATATTCAGCATTATTGAGTATTATCATGTATAGGCATCAATGCCAATGTTGGACTTGATAATTTCAAACAGTATGTGAGGTTGAAATTTACTCAGTATTGTTTGGTTGGATCTTCACATTGATGTTTTTAGGACTGCAACTGGTCAGTCTCTTATCGGCTTATGTGCATACTGTGCATATTGCCTCGATATAGACTTAATTCACAAACATTATAAGCAAATATGGATAGTGGCTAGCAGTGGAATCCAGGACGCGCGTTTCGTCCTATTTGGGACTCCTCAGCTGGATGTACCTGAATCTCAGAGTTGATGTTCATTCTGGGACTCGAACCCAGTACCATCCGCTTCAAACGCCATCGCGCTATCCACTCGGCCACTGAGTCCTGATAGCCACTTGCTTGTGCAGTGGGGTGAAGTCGGAATTTACTTAGTATTGTTTGTTTGGATCTTCCCATTGATGCTTTTAGGACTGCAACCGGTCACCTTGTTTGTTTTACTTTGTAGGTTTTGTTTATCGTAATAAGTTGATCCACATTCTAAATATAATATAACGTCTAAATAAGTGATTATGCTGTTTACTGAGATATAGTACAACAACAAAAACCTAGACCAGAGTTAATACGATTGGAAGACTGGATGATACACGATCAATACACCATTTTTAGAATGGCGAACATGTTATACCAAATGCAAGACCCGCAAATAAAAATATAAATTCAGATTGCAAGCCAATTGTTGGCTTATTCAACATAAAAGGTAGCCATCCAACACAGAGTGTAGATAAAGAATTGATAACATACAGTTCATGCATTAGGCAGGAATTTGTCTGTATATATATCTTCATTATCCAATCATATTTTAATTTCACCAGTCATAAATCAAATGATCAGGATTACAAATTATCGTTAATGGAATGTCTGTAAACTGGATGGCGTGTCGAATGCAAACTGTAGTAGCATATGAACCACGAAATTTTGATAGATTTTATCATACACAAATAAACAGCATATACTTTCAACATATAGACAAGTGAGGTAATCAGACATCATCTAATCAAATAGTAAGTTTCTTCATTTGTCCCTTCAGGATATTGGAGCCCATGTGCACCATTGGTTTGGAATCAGGGTTTTCCAACTCCCTTAGGTGTGGACTCTCTGTGTCGACCAAACCCGTTAAAGCGCCAGACATTCGCTTTTCGTCCTCTTACTTTCGTAAACAACAGTAATGCCACGAGAAGGCAATGAGCGGGTCTTCCCTGACTTAGTTGTATTCACGTGGCCATGTGAGAACATTTCGAGAGGGCGAGCTAACTCTCTCCTTTCTTGGCCGTACCAGGGCATTTGAGGCTTTGAAGGTATCTGTTCCAAGCTATCATTGTGTGTCATTCAATGACAATGATATCAGTCTATCTCATATAATTTACACTTGTATATGCGATATAATTGGACGAATGTTGCATAGGTGGTGTGAGTGTGTTGTCATAACAACAGAACGTAAATTGTTTTAATTAAATGAATTAAATGAAGATGTATTGTGCAACAGATAACTTGTAAGTAGTGTGGCGTGTTTGGTGAAAGTCACTTAGATCATTCAATGAATGTGTAGGACGAATTTATCGATAATTAGTTTTCCAGAACCCAATGTGCCTCACTCTTACCTCCTTCAACATACTGTTGATCTGTGGTAAGACATTCGTCCCACCTCAGTTTACATTATTCTCAACACAACTCGGAATCATCAGGAATCAGACTCTCCAACTGTATCATTGTTTCATGTCCTTTCATAATCCTTAATGTTTTGCAAGAATTGTGTGCAGAGACGATCTCCCCAAACACAGTTTGTGAGCAATTACGTGAACGGCGAATCAACAATCGGAAAACACAGACGATAGTACAAGTTCAGTGTTTTCATCAATATCTGATGTCCATGGTTGTCTTGATGTTGTATCAATCACTCTTGTAGTTTTCTGACTTCTCACTGAAAGTTTTCAATTCTTCACAGGAATTTTGTTGTGCCTACTGATCCGTTGACTCACATTTTTTCTCTTGTTCTTTTCTTTTCTAGAATTCCACTCATAAGTTACTCTACACACTCCTTCAGTCTAATTGTGAAACGTTACAATCGTCATAAATAATCGTCAACATCTCATGAAAGATGTGAGAGTTCTTCCGAAGTTTCACTAAAATGTTTGGTAACTAATCCCGAGTAAATGTTTATCAAACAGATCATTGTACATTAAACAAATCAAAGTAAAAAGAAATATATATGATGATATAATATTTGAGTGATCAGTTCTTTCATTTGTATCATATGTCGAACTTAATATTCTCTAATTTAGAGAACATTTTCATTTTACAATCGAAATAAGTAGTATCCCTATTGAAAATCACAGATAACCTTTAACTCTAAAAATTATATTTCTTAAAAATTATACAGTGATCTTGAGTGCTGTTAGAGGTATGAGGGCAGTTATCACTTTCCGGTTGCTCACACCGTGGAAGGGTTCTTCAAGAATTACCCGAGAAGGAAATTGAATTAGAAGTGGTCTTAATGACCTGAGAGCGTGACCGCAGTGCCTAAGGGACAACTGCTTGAGGTCGGTCACACATACCTACAACTAATTGAGATATTTAAATGATGCCTTAATTAGGTTCTGTTTGTAATGAACATCACAATTGAATTTAACTTATTAGCATAAAATAAATAATTTTCTCATTAGCATTACGTTCGTCTTCTTATTACATTATCGAAATTTATCAAAGGGACTAATTGCTTTAAATAATTTTCTTTTAAATAACTAATTTTAATAGTTGAGATCATGAATCAATTGGAGCTAGACCACTATGGAAAACCTGGAAGCACTGGACGGTCGTTTCGTGATCTCAACTGTTAAGATTACTTTGATATCCACGAAACCCCTTCTGATACTAAATAATTGATTGTTTATAAGCAAATATGGATATTGGCTAGCAGTGGAATCCAGGACGCATGTTTCGCCCTGTTTGGGACACGTCAGCTGGATGTACCTGCATCTTAGACTTGGTGATGTTCACTCTGGGACTCCAACCCAGTACCTTTCGCTTCACATGCCATCGCGTTATCCACTCAGCTACTGAATCCTGATAGCCACTATCCATCTTTGTTTACAATGCTTGTGAATTAAGGCTATATCAAGGCAGTATGAACATATGCCAATAAGAGACTGACCAGTTGCAGTCCGAAGCATCAATGGGAAGATTCAATTAAACAATACTAAGCGAATTCAAACCTCATGACTTTCATGTAAAATAAGTACCAAAACACGTCATCGTTTGGAAGATGTTCACATCTATAGTCTTAGCTACAGAATAAACACTAAATATTCAATTGTATATTATTTTGAGCAAAAATTAAGCCTATTATATGTCAGGTAATATTGGTTGAATGTAACTGGTGTACTGATTGCATGTAACTCAACCATGAATTATAAATTTGTGTGCTTAGATTTACGACATAAATGTATGTTATATCGATTGCTTGCATGTGCCCTATTTGATATATGAACGTGCTAAGACCGCCAATCAGAGAGCCGCGAATTATATTTTGGGACAGTGACACACGAAAAACCATGCGAGCATACTAGAGTACGTATCGGTCCTGCTTCTGTCTAGGCCAGTCAGTTAAGTCTAGAACACTAATCTCAGCTTCTGCGGAATGAATCATTATATTTTAAACATACTGGGTTTATATACCAAACAAACTGACCACATCGTGACATAAAATAGAAAGTAATATTTGTACGAGATTTAGCTAAATGTGGCTGTGAATAGGGGGAACAGTAATTAATGGACTAGGGATAACTCAAGAATGGGAAATCATATAATAATAGTCTATCGGTCAAAATAAAGCTAATAATAAGAGAAACATGAATATGAATAGTTTAGTTACTTAACCACTATACAATATGAAATATACATATCATATTGGTCCATAATTAGTCCTCAAAGTTACCATTCATAATTCTCCACGGGATATGACACCTCCCGTTTTCGAGAGATCCGGATTTTAGATTTCCCGAATTTATCCTCCTCTACGAAAGAGTGTTGGATCCTCATATACACAAGTTACCATTAATGTGACATTATTTAAAACATGTTTGTCGCATTCGACAGAGAATCCATTAGAACTGATTAGGTCGCTAGGATCGACGGCATTTGATTTGAGGTCACCAGTGTCTAATTCTTTTGAAACAGCTTACTTGAATTTATTGGGAACCTCATAAGTAGATAGTGAATCATTGGGATAATCAGTATCTACAAAAACGTTATTGGATTCTCGACTATCATTTGATGCAATTGGCTGTCCGAAATGATGATTTACTTTCAGCTAAAAAACTATAAATACATGAGATTTCTGTACTATTTTTTGACACTGTTTGGGGAATAAAATTCCTAGTCTTTTGTCTTCTCTCTTGCGACGTTGCGGGTTCGATCGTTCAAGTAGTCTAGTAGTACGCGGCATAGCAAGTATCAATGCTCTAGATATAACAGTATGGCGGCCTGCTTGAACATCTTGGATAGCTATTTCTGCCTCCTAGTTTAATTTTTCTTGTTTTAATACATCATTATGTCTATTAATCTCATAATCTATTCAGGTGCGTTTCTGCAAAGTTGTACAGGTTACAAAAGCCCTGATCAGAGATATTATGGTTGCTGGCAATATGCGGAGAAAAGAATATACATTATTTAGATGTTGATTGACTGGACTGTTAACTTCTAACTGTCGATCACTCAATATTTATTGTCAGGGTGTCCCAATGGCTGAAAGTCGTACTCTTCATTCAATTAACTACTCCATACTGAAGAATTGATTACAACAGAATAGACAGAAGATAGAGAGTTTAATGTTTATTCACTTAATCGATGAAATAAGAAGTTTTCCTTGGTGATATGATTAATTCACTTTATGATCGTTGAAATTATGCTGAATTAATTCGTTAGGTCAATGCGATTTAATTTGCTAAATAGCCTGAGTAAATCACCTTAACTATGATGTTTTAATTATCATCAAACGTAATCTCTCCTCTTTTTTTAAAAAAAAACATTAATGTGAAGTGACAATTTACTACTTGAAAAATGATAATTTAGTCTTTCACTTACTCTCTCTGTTGTTATATCTCAACTAAATATACTATACTCGCTCGCGAGAGCGGGTTCGTGGATGCGCACTGCTGAGGAGTCCCATAATAGGACGAAACGGCCGTCCAGTGCTTCCAGGTTTTCGATGGTGGTCTAGCTTCAATTGACTCATGATTTCAACTGTGAAAATACTAAATTCTCCACAAAACCCCCTCTGATAAATATACTATTTGTCAAGCTTCATATGTTATACTGGACATCATCAGACATCAGTAATTATGTAATCACTGTAATTGTAGTGTTACCTACAGTCCGAATCAGAAAAAAAGGCGATTTCCTGTGGATAATGCTGTTGAGAATGAGGCTTACAAATCTACTTCATATGGAAATGGAGCAACATACTAAATCGCTTTCTAGTTGCACTTCTTCAACTTTATTAATCCATTTATTGTTTTTTCCCTTTAAAATATTGAAGTTCAAGCATACTATTCGCTGGAGATAAGAGTATATCAATTGTTCTATTATCACGAAGTCGCACTGCTGAAACCCCACTCCAAACTACACATTGAAGCCTTCAACGTATACACTCTATGTCAAATCGACCAGCAAGCCTCCTTGGCTGAAACCCTAGAACCTCGTACGGTTGATGTATGCTGTGTCTCTGAAACACACATACAGAATCCTAGTGTGGTCATTCACTTGACCTCACCTCACGAAAACGGAGAGTCGACGAGATACACCCTCCTTTTATCTGGTGACTCGATGGCTAGTTCTTGTGGACTGGCAGGTGTAGGCATAGCACTGAGTACGAGGGCAGAACAATCACTATTAGAGTGGATCTCCATTAACAGTCGCTTATGTGCTGTACGGCTAAACGGTTCAGTAAGAACTCGGAAAGATATGAACACACGTGGTTGTCTTTTCTTCGTTTCGGCCTATGCTCACACTGACTACAGCCCGGGTGAAATGAAAGATGACTCCAACAGAAAGCTTTCTGAACTTCTTCATAAAGCTAAATGCTCAGACATAGTACTGGTAGCGGGTGACTTTAATGCCCAAGTAGGTAGCTTAAGCCAAACAGAAAGACATTTAGGTGGATATTTTAGAATTCCAGCTCAGCGAACAGATAATGGTGAAACTGTGCTCAGACGATCGTTTATTTTTAGTAAGCAATAATTTTAAGCATAAGGAGTGACATCGTCTAACATGGCGACCCCCTGAACCAAACCAACGATGGATTCAAATAGACCATATTGCCATCAGTCATCGTTGGAGAGGCCAGACAGAGGACTGTCGTTCGCTCTGGAATACATGTTTAGACTCTGATCATGCTTTAATACAAGCACACATTTGCTTGCTCCTCACTGGATGCAGAAAAACCACATTAAGAAGACCCATCAGAATTGAACTGAGGGAAGAGAAAGCCAAGTGATGTTACATTTAGGCAGTTCAGAAAGCGGTGCTGACCCAGATGTTGCTTTGAAAGATATACGAATAGCTGTTTAGTTTGACTAATATAGCACCTAAAATACCAGCCTCAATAAGTATCAGGCGCCTAACAAGAACTCGTGAACTTCAAACACGAGGTAATCAGGCTGGCTTCAGATCAAGTTGTGACTGTATCGACCACATATTCATCACTCGTCAAGTTTTAGAACGCAGGCATGCTTATTGGTGTACGACAGTGATAATATTTCTTGACTTAAAAGCAGCATTTGACTTTGTAGATCGAGAGGTTCTGTGGCAGTGTTTGTCATTGTAAAATGTACCTCAGAAGTACATAAACCTTGTGAGAACTTTTAATCGAACACTACTAGTCGAATCAGAACTTATAGGGAATTTTCATTCGATTTTAAAGTTATGGTTTTCATCACGAGCTACACATCTGTAATGTCAAAATATTATTTAGCCATATCGATGTACGAATTTTATTTCAAAATTGAAGTCCATCTTAAATCTGGCTGGCTAATCCATAAATTATGGTCCTGTCATAATTATTACCTTTGTTTCTAAAGTGTAAGCAACTGAAGAGAAACCGCGACATAAATGAACCTACCTTATTGGAATACGTTTATTGTTCTTACCTGAATGAAGTTTTATTTTTACTCACAAAAGTGAACATCGGATGAGTAACGAAAGCTAATGAACGTTGGAAATATGTCCTGTCACATCTCAAGGCCAGTATAGTATCAGGTTAAGGCAATGTGTGAGATGACCGTGAAGACTGCTATGCTTCAACCAATGATGCTAATGCCCGAGTAAATGACCTGATGTTTTAGCGTTATTGGTATATACATTTTGTGTCCCCAAATTCAATCAGAATGCGAAAGTGAATCAATAGATGTAATTTTTGTATCTATGACTGGAAGATTCACATGATTAAATACGAGTTACCGGATTATAACGTATCTTGAGTAAGTAGTTAAATATATGCTAAACACAATTCACAGTAATTCGAGAGCGGTAAAGCTTTTGATAGTAGTTAATCAGTCGATTGGAAGCTTTCAACTAAGGAAATATAAAAATTATATAGACTGTTGTTAAATGCATGTTAAAAGAGTATGACTACTAGTACCGTAGACAATGCCAAGTTGGTCATTTTCTCTTATTCGTCTCATACCAAAATTGAGCTGAATCCCATTTACCATATTTCTTATTTCAATAAATCAATGATTTATTATGACAGTTTTAACTAATTGGACTCACTACTAACACCTGAATATTGATATGAATATGTATTTCATGATGAAGGGATTCAATATTATCGTTGTTACAGAAATGAATGGATTATCAAGGTTTTCTTGTGGATGTTATGTTCTTTGAATTTTGTGGTTGATTGTAAAGCTTGCATCGTCATACTGGACATCTCTGTTTTCATGAAGTTCCAATTGATTTCCGAAGTTCGAATTAAACGGAGGAGGCGTAGGCATTCGACGAGTTTTTGGTCGGTGCATATAGTTGACAACAAATATATCATCTAAAGGTGAATAAACCCCATAAATTGCCCTGAAAAATGTTATGATAAAGGGGAAGTCGTCTGTTTTTGTGGATTTGTAATTGATTTCCACAAATGGATTCGAGGTCTGGTCGAATGATGATTACGTACGAGGGATTTCTTCTGACTTACGACTGTATTCCCTTTGTAGCATAGGCCGCCGACCAGGATTCTCTAACTTATTCGATATTGTGCTCTCCTTTACAGTTGTTCGTAAGTGCTATTCATTCTTTTCATGTCTGTCTCTAATTTCCGAAGCGATATGTTCTTTGGTCTACCTCTTTCTCTTTCGCCTTCACGATTCCAAGTTATGGCTTGCCTTGTGATCCAGTTCGATTATTTCCTCAATGTATGCCCTATCCGCTTCAAATGTCTTTTCCTAATTTCCTCCTAAGCTCGAAGCTAGTTTGTGCTCTAACTCAGTAGGTTGTTGATAATGTTATCCGACCAACAGATCTGAAGTATGTTTAGTAGACAGCTGTTTGTAAATACCTTTACATTTTTGATGGTAGTTGTAGTAGTTTTGGAATTTCGAGCTGCTTACAGCAAGACTGTCTTGACGTTCGTATTGAAAATTGTGACTTTGATGTTGTCTGTGAGTTGTTTGTATTTTCAGATGTTCCTCAATTGTAGAGATGCTTTTTCTGATTTGTCAATCCGTGCCTTCACATTTGCATCAAATTGTCCTTGTTTATCGAAATGCTCCTCAGGTGCGTGAAAGTTTCCACCCCTGCCAGGGATTCTCCATCAAGAGTGATTTAATTGGTGTTCTCCGTTTTGCATTTTATCATCATGCTTTTCCTTTTGTGTATGTTGAGGAAGAAATTGATGACCTTGACGTGAACACCTGTTACACTTGAAACTTTCTTTCAAAATGGAATAAGAATATTTAATGTACCTCTTCCTCGTCTGGATGTGCACGGGCTCTGTTGAGGAGTGCCATACCAGAACGAAACAATTATCCAGTACTTCCTGGTTCTCATAAATTAGCCAACCAAGGTTAATGTTAGATATATATTCTATGAAATGCTTTCACATTGTCAACGATGTTGATATATATCGACCAGTTCCATTCATCTGATTGCTCAAAAATGCTTCGCAATATTGCTATTTGGTCGGTGCATGACCGATTCATGCGAAAGTAAACCCACTGATTTCAAACATCGGTGTCTAGTGAATCTTTCATTGGTGTCAACAACACTCTGTTGAAAACATTTCCTGGTACGGATGATAGTGTGATGCCTCTGTAGATGAGTTCCCTCACTTGTTCAGATCTCCTTACTCTGACATCCTGATGAAGAATCCTTCTCTCCAGTCTGTCGGTATGAAGCAACTCTGCAGTCACCTCTATATCTGACTTGAGTGTTTCAGTTGGTATGCTGTATGGTCTTACTGTTTTCTCATTCTTGATTAATCTAGTGCCTTGTTGATTTATTCGATTGTTGGTGGTGTACCAGATATGAGGTGTGTGTGTGTGTGTTATCTCGATGTTGGATGAATTCAGTGGGACTGGTCTATTCATGAAATCTTCAGAGTGCTCTACTCACCCGCTGCTCTGTTATTGCAAGTCAGTGATTTCTGTGACTCTTTCATTCCTGACTTGTAGATCTGAATTACTGTATTTCCATTCCGACGTTTTCGTTGTGTCATGTAGTTTTCCCATATTTCCTTATCTTGCAGCTTCTTCATCTGTCATTGATAGGATTTTCACTTATTTCCGCTTATCGACTTCAATGCTCCTCTTCACTCTCTTGTTTGCTTCTGTATATTCGGACTGTGCATAGACTTTTGCTGCCGTTGTCCGCCTGTTGTTAATGGCTTACTTCTTATTCTTCCTTTCTTGAATCTCGTCCAGATTGTAAATAGAAATCTACTGTTTATGGTAGTGCTTGTTGCTGTCCACAACAGTTGTTCTCCATGTTGGTTTCCTAACGTCCTAACTGACCTTGTAGGACTTGGACCCAATAGCTGTGATCCATCTTGGATTAACTGATCTACTTGACACCCTCAGGAAGGACTGTAATATACTTTTAGAATGATTATGTTCCAGTTTTTTTGACTATCTCTATTTCAAATATCCTGTAACTCGGATTACTGATTACCATTTAAAGTTTCACTGAATATACATAAAAATATATCTGTGGATATTTTAAATCAAAATCATAATCATGCTACATCGACCTACTCTCATGTCTCCATCAATGAGATCATCCTCAAAATTCAACTTATCTACTAATTCACAACATTCATCTCAATCGATTAAAATAGAAAGTCCAGAATTGATTCAACTTCTTGACTATGATGATGATGAAATAGTTATTGTAGAGCCCACTGATACAGATGAAGATCGTATGAAACAGGAAGATACAACATTTTGATAATTATTCAGTGATCGGAAACATTTTTGTACAAAATATTACCCATTAGTAATTCTCTGTGACGATGAAGTAATAATGATTGTAATTGACTCATTAATTGGCCAGACTGAAATTTATGGTCGCAATTCTTAAATTTAGTTTCGAAATTCATTCATCCATGTGGCCTAGAGGCATTTTAGCATTACAGCTGATATCAGTTCCTGATGAAAACTCTAAACCTAATTTCTAACACTAACTTCTAAAACTAAATTCGAATCCTAATTCTCACACAAATATTTGACCATCTTTTCGCTCTAGTGAGCAGATGAACTTTCTCAAGGTCACTTTAGTATCTTTGACACGTCGTTTATAAATTATAGTCTTACCTATTGATACATTCGTATTATGAGGTTTATAGGAATTGTAAAACTTTAATACTTTGAATAGCGAATTCATCCCAATTCGACGATCATTGGAAACCTGGAAACGTTGGAAAATATTTTATCCAAGTATATGAATCCTCAGCAATTTACATCCACAACCCTGCATCTGAGGATTAAATCTAGGAACGACTCCGTGGTCATGAGTTCAAACATTCGCGCGCGACCTTAGGTCGTGAGTTCGACTCGTCTATTCTCACTGCTGAGATCGAAACGACCGTTCAATGCCCCCAGGTTTCTAGTAGTTGTCTAAGTTTAGTTCGTCGTTTTCTAGCAACTATCCTACAACCAATTTTGATTATGGTTAATTTTGTTTAAGCCCTTTTATTAACTTACTTAGCAGACATTGTCATTTGAATAGTAACAATTCGCATATATCTTCGTTCTGTTATGACCACTGAGCACATGAAAGACTCTAGTCAAAACGTTGATTGCTTAAAATATCATTCGATGATTGATCCTCCTCCCCATAGATGTATGCACTCGAATCCTGTTATTAGCTTTGGCTTTGTCTTGTTGCGCCCTTATGCAATTTGACTATAAATTTCCCTATGTAACTGCTCCCACATACTTACTCATACATAATCGCCTTTCCGCTTCAAAGTCACTGGATATGCTTATGGCTTTGTGGCCTGTGTTATTCAATAATAAATTGTAGTTGCAGCTTCTTTTTGCCTTCTGATTTCATGCACCGTTGAGATTTATATTATAACGGTTATCGGTTAGTGTCGAACACGGTTCCATAGGGTTCTCCTATTCATGATATCAAACACCTTCTCATAATCAAGGAAGTTGATGTAAAGTGATAAATTCCATTCGATTTGTTGTTTAACGATCATCCATAGTGTCGCGCTTTGATCTGTGCACGGTCAATCCTTATGGAATCCAGTCTGTCGATCTGGCAGTTGGGCGTCCACTGAATCATTCAGACGGTTCAGACTCTCCAACTTCATCATTTTTACATGTCCTTTCGTAATCCTTAATGTTTTGCAAGAATTGGGTGCAGAGACGATCTCCCCAAACACAGTTTGTGAGCAATTACGTGAACGGCGAATCAACAATCGGAAAACACAGACGATAGTACAAGTTCAGTGTTTTCATCAATATCTGATGTCCATGGTCGTCCTGATGTTGTATCAATCACTCTTGTAGTTTTCTGACTTCTCACTGAAAGTTTTCAATTCTTCACAGGAATTTTGTTGTGCCTACTGATCCGTTGACTCACATTTTTTCTCTTGTTCTTTTCTTTTCTAGAATTCCACTCATAAGTTACTCTATACACTCCTTCAATCTAATTGTGAAACGTTACACTTTGTTGATTCTTGTCCATCCTCCAATTCATTTTATCAACTGTCTCATTCTTACACTCGCCTCCCATTATCTCTCATTAACTTTCATCATTTCCACTGATTTTCAATAATGCGGTGTGATACTCAAATGCTTCACATTTGTTTGTTGCATGCATTTTGTTGTTTTCAATGACCGATTTGAAAGCTCATTGTTTTCACAAAGTAACAACCGATCAATAGAATTGATTTGTTTGACTGACTAAAGAATATGTGAAAGAAAATAGAAGTTAGGAATCAGTGAGAAATATTATCAGATTACATGTGTGTGTATTTCACTTTTCATTGTTGCTGTTTCTCTTATCTATTCAGTTTTTTTGAGTTTACGGAACAGAGTGATTGCAGTTAGAGAAGCATGATGTCAACGAATATTGAATGACTGGTTTGTCTTCAGAGGTGCGTTCCAAAGAACTCACTAAACCATTGACCTACAATTAACAAGCATACCACGAAGTCTGTTGGTGTTTGATTCAATCCATAACGAGGTCATGTGGTCTCAGTATTGAAAAGATCAATACCAAGTAGAAATGATTATCCAGTGCTTCTTGCTTTCCAATGATTAACTCGTTTAATTTAGTCAGTGATTATTTTAACCATATTCATATTCATGATTCATTGAATGACTTGTCATGAAAATTTACACCTTTCACATGATGTGTAGTCATGATTCACATTAGTATTTTTCAAATTATACCTTAGTAGAAAATCTTCGTCGCTCATAAATTCTGATCACTTGTTTACTTCCTAATATTGAAATCTCCTTAAAATTACTTGACTAGACAGGATTAAAAGTGAAAATGAAGTGGGACATCATATTTGTAAGGTCAGAGTGGAAATCAACAAGATAAGTAATAGAAGAGTTGAAATAACAGTGGTTTCAATGGAGTGAAGAAGAAATTAAATATAGAGGATATTTTCAAAAAACGTTGTGGTAGTTTATAATCATTCGGTTGTTGGTATTTCAACAGAAATTCGATCATTCTTATTTGGCATATGTACATCCGAAGTCTCGGAGTGAACATGAACTGTGGGATGTGGTGAGTACATACAACTGACTAGTCTGAAATAAGACAAAACGTGTTTCTTCGATTCCACTGTTGTGCATATTTGGTCTATCCTTTGTAGAAGATATATTTCGTGAAGAAGGGATACATTCGTAGAATTAGATATACAAAATAATGTTGTCTCAGTCAGTCAGTCGGTCAGTTATAAGCAAAATAGGACCTGGTAGAAACAGGTGGATCGGTTGGTGTAGTCACATTATATAAATAATATTAGGTACTTGTTAGTATTCAATATTCTAATAATATTGGAACATGAAATGAATAGGGAAATCAAACCTGAATAAATTTACACGATTACTGCAGATTTTCAGTCATATAGCTTAAATTCTCCAACTAGATAATCTGACTCTGTTTTTCTCCGTTTTCGACCTTCAAGGAGTCAACGGCTCTCAGATCCTGAGGTGATGCATTTTGTGAACTTTTATGTGAGACTGAATTCATACTGTTATATCCCCCGGTGAATTACGAATGGTAACTTTTAGGTCTATTTATGGATCAATGTAATATGCCTATTTCCTATTGTACAATTATTACGTAACTGCACTATTCATATTCGTATTTCTCTTATCAATAGCTTTATTTTAACCTTTGACTTATTATCATACGATTCTTGAATTATAATCAGTTTATTGATTACTTTGGTTTGTATAAAAACCCAGTGTGTTTGTAAATAATGATTCTTATTGCCGAGGCTGTTATTTGTGTTTTGGACTTAACTAGCTGGGCTAGGCAGATAGCAGGACCGGTTAGCACTCTAGTCTGCTCGTACGGGTTTCGTGTCACTGTTCCAATCGACAATTCGCTGCTCCCTGTTTGGCGGTCTTATCACGTCACACATCAACTAGGCATCCACTCGGCCACAAGATATAACACATACTATCTTAGAAAGGTCCTCAGACGGCACAATATCATACTGTCTTACGTTAATCAATGAAGAAAAACCAATAATTTATAAAAATCTGATGTCTAACAAAGAAACGTGATTGCCAAAATATAATATAAGTCGTTACAAAATAATATTGGGAGATTTTTGCGTAGTTCATAGGTGATATTGAAGAGTGTTGAAATTCCTTCACTTTAAATGACATTTAATATTATTTATGTTTAATAAATTGTTGCTACACGGCCCCCGAATGCCCTGGTATGGCCGAGAACGGGGAGAGTCCGCTCGCCCTCTCCAAATGCTCTCACATGGTCATAAGTATACAGCCACTGCCAGCGAAGTCTTAATCACTGCCTTCTCACAGTGGCATTACTGTTGTTTACGAAATTGAGAGGATCAAAAGCGAACGTCCGGCGCTTTAACCGGGTTGGTGGACACGAAAAGTTCACCTAAGGAAGTTGGAAAACCGTGATTCCGAACCAATGGTGCACATGGGCTTCAGTGTCCTGAAAGAATAAATGGCATATGAAACAATCGTTGGTCACCGGCTACCATGGGACTGCATCTCCTTACGATGCTCCACTGCCTTGTGGATCAGATCTATAGATCAAAGGCTCAGGGTGTGGCCCCCTAAGGAAACCACCCGTATGGGTGCCCGAGCAGTATCACAGTCCTCAGACAGATCGAATTAGATTTGTGTGACGCATATATATATCTGGTTCCCCTTTGTACTAATATTTATGTGTTTAAATAAATAAATAAATAATCCAAACCAATATAAGTAGAAATGCTTTGTTAAGAAAGTAGGCATTTGATGAGTGCGAACAAGTGAGAAAGCTCAGAATTCGAAATCTATTATCATGAATTGTTATGTAATTCTGTATTCCTTGAATACTTGATTTATGTTATATATTGCTCTAACTGTAAGCTTATAATTTTGACTCACTAATTGTTGACACATACTTTACGAAATTATATCTGCACCTATTCCTCAGTATATAATCAAAATACCAACTAGTATCCTACATACAGTGATCTTCTTTTCTTTATTTTTGGCTCGTTCAGGAAATGGGTTAATTCAGATATTCTTTGAACATTTCAGGCAAGGACGAGAGTAAAATAAGGAAAAATTTATTTTAACAATTCATCTTCTGATTGGTTGACTGGGATATAAGGATCTATGTAAACCAATAAGATCTACGATATTCATTAAAAAGCCCTCGGTCGTTGTATTATTGGACAAAGATATGGTTACTGGTCTGAGAGGCACAAAAACCAAACTGGTCCGGTGAACTCTATCATTTAATGCTTTAAATTTGTAGGCGAAAATGAATCATCGTATTTGTCACATTTACCGCTTGTTATTTAATCAAAATATACATTAATGGGCAATATGAGGATTATTGAATTGATTGATTTGACCTATGATTTCTGAACAGATCATTTCAAATATCGTGTTGCTCAAAACATACATTACTAATTACCATTTGTAATTTCCTTGAATTCACTTGCATGCATATTTGTGGATATTTTAAATCCAAATCATAATCATGCTACATCGACCTACTCTCATGCCTCCATCAATGAGATCATCTTCAAAATTCAAATTATCTACTAATTCACAACATTCATCTCAATCGATTAAAATAGAAAATTGTCTTGATTTTAACGGTGGTGAGACGGGTATTGTTGGACCTACAGATCCAGATGAAGATCGTATGAAACAGGAAGATACAACATATGATGTAGTATTAAAAAAAGAACAGGAAGATTATACGGAAGAAGATTACAATGAGAATGATGAAGATATGAATTCAAATGAATCTCATATAAAAAGTGAATTTCACATCCCAGTGTCGAATATTAAATTGGATGAACCCACTGGAAATGAAACTGCAGTCACCGTAACCACAGATTCAGTTAAACCTATTGAAATTTTACCTCTGAATGATGCCATTCAGAATTTACTAACATGTATACCACATGGTGCTGCCACTATACAGAATGTTCCACTTCAACCTATACTGTCGAGTAAAGTGAATGGGTCGGGGAGTGTGCAAATGCCGAATGTTGTTTCCAATGCATTGCCTACATTGTGGCTTCATTCTCCTGTTGTGAATTCAACAGGAATGAGTATGCCTAATGTGACTAGTGTGACAGATTTGACGAGTAATATTGTACAGAATACTGCGAATGCACTGAATCCACTTGTTGCTGCTGTGCTTGTGAATTGTGCCACAGTGAACATGATAAGTCAGTTAGCTGGATCAATGTGTACTCCGATCGTGAACAGTAGTGTGATGGATGGTAATGTTAATGGTATTAATGTGAACAATAATAATAACCACACTACTATTAATGGTAGTGTTAGTAGTGGTAATGTTGGTGTTGGTTGTGGTGGTGTTGGTGTTGGTATTAATGGTGGTGTCAGTGGTGTCAACACTGTAATAATCCCTACAGCATCATTACTTCCTAATTTGTTATCTGCTATTCCGTTATCTACGTATATATCGGGATTAGAACTGAATACATCTGGAGGTATAATTACTTCACCAAATAATTTGTGTGATGTTGGTGTTGCCAGTACAGTTGTCTCGTCTGCTAAAACTCTCAATACGAACAATAATAATAATAATGGTATAATTGTGACACCATTGAATGTTGAGAATATTACTATTTCACTGTCATCGGGTAGAAATCAAGCTGAACGTAATAATTTAGTATATAATAATAGAAAATTCGATGTAAACGATTCAATGGAGAATGATATTAAAACAAATAATAATAATAGCTTAACACTTACAGATACTGAATCATCTATGGTAGTTCCCTTTCCCAAAGATTCATCCAGTATTAAGTCTTCTACAGAATTGAGGAAGTATCATTGTATATATCCAGAATGTAGCAAATCTTACACAAGACGATATCGTTTGAACCTACACATATCAACACATACTGGTACTGGTCCGATATCTTGTGATGCACCGAACTGCAGTATGAGATACTTTTCAGAGGAGGATTTAAAAAGACATAAACTATGTAAACATTCATCAGCCAATAAAGATTCGCGTCATCAACAAGCTTGTACAATTCCTGAATGCGACGGATCCTATTCAGAGAAACATTCCGAAATAACTACTTTTTCTTCAAATGTGCTACCTGAATCAACTGAACCAGTGGAAACGAGGAATGCAACATCAATAACACCGAATATTCAGAAAAATCGTACTCTCCCACTTATTGCACCAAAATCAACTATATCTCTTCCTACAAATTTGATTTTTCGAAATGTTTGTACATATCCTGGATGTGGTAAATCTTATTCATCATACACCAAACTGAAGTTACATTTAAGATCCCATAAATGTGAAAAATACTACGTTTGTCGAAAACCTGGTTGTAATGCTACATTTACTCAATTGTCTGGAGTCCGATCTCACGAACTATCACATATATCCATCCATAAAAGTTCCGAACGATTGGATCAATATCCTATCAATGTAAACGATTCAATGGAGAATGTTATTAAAACAACTAATAATAATAGCTTAACACTTACAGATACTGAATCATCTGTGGTAGTTCCCTTTCCCAAAGATTCATCCAGTATTAAATCTGCTACAGAATTGAGGAAGTATCATTGTACATATCCAGAATGTAACAAATCTTACACAAGACGATATCGTTTGAACCTACACAAATCAACACATACTGGTACTGGTCCGATATCTTGTGATGCACCGAACTGCAGTATGAGATACTTTTCAGAGGAGGATTTAAAAAGACATAAACTATGTAAACATTCATCAGCCAATAAAGATTCGCGTCATCAACATACTTGTACGTTTCCTGGATGCAGTAGATCCTATTCAGAGAAACATTCCGAAATAACTACTTTTTCTTCAAATGTGCTACCTGAATCAACTGAACCAGTGGAAACGAGGAATGCAACATCAATAACACCGAATATTCAGAAAAATCGTACTCTCCCACTTATTGCACCAAAATCAACTATATCTCTTCCTACAAATTTGATTTTTCGAAATGTTTGTACATATCCTGGATGTGGTAAATCTTATTCATCATACACCAAACTGAAGTTACATTTAAGATCCCATAAATGTGAAAAATACTACGTTTGTCGAAAACCTGGTTGTAATGCTACATTTACTCAATTGTCTGGAGTCCGATCTCACGAACTATCACATATATCCATCCATAAAAGTTCCGAACGATTGGATCAATATCCTATCAATGTAAACGATTCAATGGAGAATGTTATTAAAACAACTAATAATAATAGCTTAACACTTACAGATACTGAATCATCTGTGGTAGTTCCCTTTCCCAAAGATTCATCCAGTATTAAATCTGCTACAGAATTGAGGAAGTATCATTGTACATATCCAGAATGTAACAAATCTTACACAAGACGATATCGTTTGAACCTACACAAATCAACACATACTGGTACTGGTCCGATATCTTGTGATGCACCGAACTGCAGTATGAGATACTTTTCAGAGGAGGATTTAAAAAGACATAAACTATGTAAACATTCATCAGCCAATAAAGATTCGCGTCATCAACATACTTGTACGTTTCCTGGATGCAGTAGATCCTATTCAGAGAAACATTCCGAAATAACTACTTTTTCTTCAAATGTGCTACCTGAATCAACTGAACCAGTGGAAACGAGGAATGCAACATCAATAACACCGAATATTCAGAAAAATCGTACTCTCCCACTTATTGCACCAAAATCAACTATATCTCTTCCTACAAATTTGATTTTTCGAAATGTTTGTACATATCCTGGATGTGGTAAATCTTATTCATCATACACCAAACTGAAGTTACATTTAAGATCCCATAAATGTGAAAAATACTACGTTTGTCGAAAACCTGGTTGTAATGCTACATTTACTCAATTGTCTGGAGTCCGATCTCACGAACTATCACATATATCCATCCATAAAAGTTCCGAACGATTGGATCAATATCCTATCAATGTAAACGATTCAATGGAGAATGTTATTAAAACAACTAATAATAATAGCTTAACACTTACAGATACTGAATCATCTGTGGTAGTTCCCTTTCCCAAAGATTCATCCAGTATTAAATCTGCTACAGAATTGAGGAAGTATCATTGTACATATCCAGAATGTAACAAATCTTACACAAGACGATATCGTTTGAACCTACACAAATCAACACATACTGGTACTGGTCCGATATCTTGTGATGCACCGAACTGCAGTATGAGATACTTTTCAGAGGAGGATTTAAAAAGACATAAATTTTCTCAACATTCATCAGCCGATAAGGATCCGCGTCGTCGACATACTTGTACGTTTCCTGGATGCAGTAGATCCTATTCAGAGTTGAATAAACTCAAAGAACATTTGAGAACACATACTGGTGAAAGGCCTTACGTTTGTCGAAAACCTGGTTGTGGTGCTACTTTCGCACGACTATCCGGTGTTAAGTCTCATGAAATAACCCATGTATACGTCCGTAAACGTTCTAAACGACTGGCACAATATCCTATTTCTATGATTGGTAACATATTCGGAACAAGTCTTGATAATTATCAACTAGGATTGAATAATCAGAGTAATTCTGAAATAACTACTATTTCACCAGATATGCTACTTAAATCAACAGAATCAATGGAACTTACAAGTGAAATATCTATAGCATCGAATATTCATGAAAATTATACTCTCCCACTTATAGCACCCAAATCAAATGTAACTCTTCCTAAACCATCTATTCTCATGGCAAGTTGGGATTCTGGAATGAAGTTACCTTATGTTTGTCCATTTAAAGAATGTGGTAAAGCATTCTTGAAAAGAAATAAATTTCGTGATCATATATATCGACATACAGGTGTAAGACCATTTGTTTGTGATCAATGTAAAGCATCATTTGTTCAAAAGTATGAATTACGATGTCACACTTATGTTCATCTTCGTGTTGCACAATCTAGTAATCAATAATTAATTGTATATTTTCTTACTAATATTATCCATCTAATCAACAGGTAACTAAACACTGATATGCTCAGTGATTTCAATGATCATTATCTTTACTGTCGTTTAAAAAATCCAAGTTATCCATGTAATCTCATTAACCAATTTTTGTCTGAACTTTTGTAGTTACTATATAAATCGATGTCTGGTTTACTATTCTACCTATCATAAAATATTCTCTATTTTTGTACATATTGAACTATCTTTAGAACTACTTACCATATACCACACATCTCTTAAATATACCTAATTTAGACTATTGTTAACGTTGATTGGATGACCTATTCAGTGTATAATGAACTCGGAGAACCATGTACCTATTTATATTCGATAATTTTGATGTTTGATTATAATTCCTTGAAAAAGCTTGGACCAGATTATTCAGGTGAAACGTTGGATTTAATTTAAAAAATTCATTCGCTGAGATTTTACAAATATACTATTCCTATTTAATGTCTTACTTCAACTCGGCGCTCAAATACTGTGAAACTATTCGTTCTAATTTAGACGAGAGTTCTTATATATACTTACCATTGGTTTATGTACACTATTCTGGGCAGAAAAAAAAAAGATTACGTAACAATATTTATTTTATTGAGTTACTGTTTTTCATTTTATTACCCATGTGTGTATCGTATGTATGTTATGTAGTAGTTGGTTTACTATGAAAGCACAGATTCATTTGATTCATTGCTGAGGAGTCCCACAATAGGATGAAACGGCCGTCCAATGCTTACAGGTTTTCCCTAGTGGTCTAGCTTCAATTGACTCACGCTTTCAACTATGATTCACATTTTATCTGCTTGAAATTTTAAATTATCGTTAATGGAATGTCTGTAAATTGGGCGGCGTGTCGAATGTAAACTGTAGTAGCATATAAACCATGAAATTTCGATAGATTTTATCATACCTAAATAAACAGTATATACTTTCAACATATAGACAAGTGAGGTAATCAGACATCATCTAATCAAATAGTAAGTTTCGTTGTAGTTGTATCCATCTGTGTAGATTATACTAGTTAGTTGGTGAGTTGCATATCAAATAATATTCATACCAAATTGAGCTAGAAACTTCTACCGAAGTCCAGAGGAATGACGAGTAAATGATTGACTATTATTTCATTCATAGTTTGAGGGTAACTGTAGGTCATGTGAGACTTTACTGTCTTGTCCCTCTATCATCATTCTTCCCCCTCTCTCCTTTTTCCTTGGAAGATATGTGTATGTGTATGTACGTATATGTACGTGTGTAGGTGAGTGATTGAGAGAGAGAGAGAAGCTAATGATAACCCACGAACACGATAGAATGAAAAAGTCAATTTTGTCTAGCTGCCATCATCAAAGGACAAAAGGATCTGTCTAGAGGAAATAGAATGACAAAAATAGTGTGAAACAAAGACGATAGACTGGAGAAATACATTATACTGACGTGTTTGCGTAATAGGAATGTTGCGAACCGTCATTACGTATATCGAAATCCAATATTTGATTTTTCTGAAGAAATGATTAGGGTTTCCACCAATATCATCTGTTCAACACGAAACTTGCTTTCAAAATGGAATAAGAATATTTAATGTACCTCTTCCTCGTCTGGATGTGCACGGGCTCTGTTGAGGAGTGCCATACCAGAACGAAACAATTATCCAGTACTTCCTGGTTCTCATAAATTAGCCAACCAAGGTTAATGTTAGATATATATTCTATGAAATGCTTTCACATTGTCAACGATGTTGATATATATCGACCAGTTCCATTCATCTGATTGCTCAAAAATGCTTCGCAATATTGCTATTTGGTCGGTGCATGACCGATTCATGCGAAAGTAAACCCACTGATTTCAAACATCGGTGTCTAGTGAATCTTTCATTGGTGTCAACAACACTCTGTTGAAAACATTTCCTGGTACGGATGGTAGTGTGATGCCTCTGTAGATGAGTTCTCACTCTTGTTCAAATCTTTCTCTGGCATGCTGATGAGATACCCTCCTCTCCAGTCTGTCGATATTTGTTCTTCCACCCAAATCTTTCCGAAGAGAACATCAAGCAACTTTGCGGTTACCTCCATATCTGACTTGAGTGCTTCAGTTGGTATGCTGCCTGGTTTTACTGCTTTCACATTCTTGATTAATCTAATGCCTTGTTTATTTATTCAATTGTTGGTGGTGTACCAGATATGAGGTGTGTGTGTTATCTCGATGTTCGGTGAATTCAGCGTGACTGGTCTATTCATGAATTCTTCAGAGTGCTCTACTCATCTACTACGCTGTTATTAAATTTTCATTTTTATCATGAGACTTCATAATTCTTCTAAATTTTGATCCTTCAACTCCCAGAACAAAGTTTAAATGGTTTAATTAATTTTTCTGCCTAGGATATTTTAAGAAATTTCATTCTCCATGAAATAGTTTTTCTAACCCCATACCGAACTTTCCTTTATTCGGCTGAGGATCGACAATAACATTATTCAATCTCCAATATGAGTTAATAATTTTATTAAGCAACTGAAATCCGGTTAAATACAATTGGATTCTCTATATAATCCATACAATGGGATATGAGTCATATTTAGCCTGAAGAAGCACGGCAGCTGATCTGCCAATATTCATAATTGTTGACATTAAACCAATTAGTCTATATTTGTAATTGAATCAAAAATATTTTTTATCATCTAGCTTCTTTCTAAACGTGTCGATAACTAGATGTGTTATCATTTATTTCGTTGAAAAACTCCATGATTGATGACTCGATAATTAATATGGAGTCATAACGCGATCTTATCCTGTAGTATTGTGAAGACATTTTAATGATGGAGTCAGGATTAACCGCTCCCATAATGAGTCAAAATGTACTGTGAAGTGATTTAAACGCTTCAATCATTACTCATTGGGTTGTTTACCGGCTCGTATATGATAGAATCTCTTTGTAAAAATAATGTAAGTTACATTAGATGTTTGATTGTTCCCAAATATATGGCACAACCAACACCAATATCAGAATTTTAAATACCAATGTCAAGACAGTTCTACTGTATGAGGCGGAGACGTGGAGAACCACGAAAGCCATCATCCAGAATATACAGGTTTTTATTGACAGTTGTCTGCGCAAGATACTCAGGATCCGTTGGCCAGATTCTACCAGCAACAAGTTACTGTGGGAGACAACAAACCAGATTCCAGCGGAGGAAGAAATCAGGAGGAAGCGCTGGAAGTGGATAGGGCACAATTTGACAAAATCACCCAATTGCGTCACAAGACAAGCCCTCACATGGAATCCTGAAGGTCAAAGGAGAAGAGGAAGACCAAAGAACACATTACGCCGAGAAATAGAGACAGACATGAGAAGAATGAACAAGAACTGGATAGAACTAGAAAAGAAGGCCCAGGACAGAGTGGGTTGGAGAATGCTGGTCGGCGGCCTATGCTCTATTTGGAGTAACAGGCGTAAGTAAGTAAGTAAATAAACACATGACACATTGTACTTTTAGAGAAAATAATGCACATACAACTTTATTTTAAACCAATTGGTAATGTCATAACAATCGACCAACCACATTTATTTATATACTACTCCTAAATTCTGGCACAACTTGGCAGTAAGAAAATTATGACCTACACAAATAAAATGGTAATAAATTCACTTGGTCTTGTTTACTTGTATCTTCCCATTGTTATTTAGGTACATCCAGCTGACGAGTCCCAAATAAGACGAAACGCGCGTCCTGGATTCCACTGCTAGCCACTATCCATCTTTGCTCATAAAATGGTAATTTTGTGAAAAAAATAATTGAGGAACATTGAGTGCATAGAAAAGAAAGTAATAAACGTACTGTGTATGTATTTAATAGAAAATACAATTCAGTTTAAAGTGTAGCCTCTCATTTTGATGAAGAATGAAAACGTAAACTAATCCAGGGTCTTCATTTGTTCCGATTCTGAGTCATTCAGATAACGTCACAAGCAACTGAGTTTCATTTTCTCTAGATCTTTAACTTGGTTGTTGTGATAATCCAACAGATCATAGTCCTAAACAACTTTTAGTAAAAGTTTACTTTACTTACGGCCTTATATAAAATATTCAGAATCAAGACAGTGCCCCGTACATTTTTGAGAGGAATTAAAATTGCAGCGCTAGATAACTTCTATATTATGATTAACTAAGTAAAAATTGTCTATATTGGATTCCTAAAATGCTTGAAATCAATAAAAATATCTATTATGCAAACTGAACAACGAGTGTGACACGGTGCTTAAGCTAGACTACAAGAAATACTTGCTGTCAATGCAGATTTTATGTGAAAGTACTTTTCTTGATTCAGTTGATTATCAAAAGTGTTTGTGTAACATTATTGAACGAAAGCTAATGCTTGTTGATGACAAAAAGCTTATATGTTTATAACTTTAGCACACAACACTAGTTCAACTCCTAACATGCTGTAGACCATCAACGTTGATGATCTATGTCGAATGATTGGAGGCCTACTCGAGTTAGACGGGAATGGTGTGACAAACAAGTTAACTTCGAAGTCACAGCTCGCGATCAGCACCTTACGTGGATCGCCCCATTGATGTATCAAGAGACCATGGATGCTCTGAAGACTGCACAACACAAAGGACGTTATTACAGGAATTTATTAGTTAAAGTAGATACAAGCGA